GCTTAGCGATCCTCATGGGAACTTAATATAGATGATTCTAATGGTATCTTGAGAATAGAGATGTGGACGAAGTCGTTGAAGGCGGCAACGTCGAATAGTACAGGAAAAACTGTAGGAAACGTTTTGGACTTCCAGTGGTCGTCCGCACATGACGTCGTGGTCGACCGCGAACGTGCACAGCTCAGGGAACGTTTCTGGACTTTCTGCGGTCGATTGCGACAAACTCTGCGGTCGACTGCCAAAACCCTGTAGGTGATTCTGGTTTCGGTGGTTTGTCACGGTCGACCACGATGAGTTCTACGGTTTACCTCGAGTCGGGCTGGGCCAGACTTCCAGTTTTCTGTTCACTTTAGGTTTTGTGTTGGATATATATATATTAAAACACGACTTTTCTCGGGTTTTTGGCAACCAGATTGTATTCAGAAACGAGACCAGTGAGATTGTTCTTTGATCTAGAGAGATTGTGAGAGAGATTTCTAATATATTATTTCTCATAATCTAGAGAAGGTATTTTCCTTCGACCAACTCAATTCTTTGTATGTTTTCTTTTGTCTTCTTCGTAACTCACTCTTGATAATTCCGCGGTCAATGGTGCTCGTCCGACGACTTGTATCAGATCAAGCAATTTAAGCGAAGCTAAAGAAGACATAAAATCATTTGTTAATATTAGATTTTTTTAAAATTTGTATATGTAAACAAATCAGAGCATCACGTATTAAAATGTGACAGCTTTTCAACATTTTCTAGAACTAATGGTTTGAAATCCCACTCACTAGCTATGCTGCTTTTTGGCATTTCAGTTATTTTTGTTGTCCTTTTAACATATTTTGTTTAGCTTAAATCTTGTGCTTAACGTGAATATCCTCATATCCTTTTTTTTTTTAATCTATCCTATTTTACTGTGGCTGGAAGGATAGCATAATGTATTGATATTTCCAAAATGACGTTTCTTTTTAATTCTAATGTTAGGTTTTTGAGGATGCTTACAGATCCCAGTTAAGCATTATAGTCCTTGATGACATTGAAAGGTAGCTTTGAACTCCTGACTTTTAAGCTTTGACAACATCTACTTCCATATATACTCTGATTGCTTTTAATTGTCTTTTTAGCAACTTTTATTGGTAAGATAAAAAACAACCTTTGTTGTGGCCTGTTGTTAATTTGTTGATTGTTTTTCTATCAACCATTGATAAGTACGGAAATTAACAAAAGTTCTATAAATAAAGAAAGGGTATGAATGAGAAATCAAAACATTGACAGCTAGGTAACAGTATTAATTAATTTTCTTAATAAGTATATATGTTAGTCGTAAAAGACATTTAAAAGTGACACAGGAAGTGATATTTATCATGTTCTTCTTGTAGCATTTGTAGACTCCATGGTGTCTGCTTGTGTTCTTTTTTTTCGCCTCCCTGCACTGCCATAGCTGTTACTTATGCAATTTAAATTAGATCATCATTAACACCGTCATCATCATGATTACCATCACCACCACTGACATGTGGGCATACAAGCTTGCAAACACATTGAAATTCTTGTGTTGCTTAGCTGCCATGCACCATTGATCGATGATATATTGGTGCCAAGTACCCAGGACACCAAAAGAAACGAAGGAAGGGCTTTTGTTTATTGTTTTAAGATTCATTTTAGATGGGTACTTGGCACCCATCTACCACTTACCTGTGTAGTTATGGTGTGTAGGCCACCTATGCAAGACCTTTCCTCTACCCATTATAATAATAAGGGTTTTCCCCCCTAGAAACCGCCTTTCAATTTCATATACATAAACCATTTTAAAGTAGATTTTTGTTGCAATCAACCATCTCCCAATAAAAATTTCACTTAAAAACCAAAAATAAGCTTAAGAGATTCAAGTTCAAGGTTCGTGAATTGTATCCCACCAAGACCTAAACGTTACAAAAATAAGTCTCGTGCTATGAATGTGAGTTTTTTAAAGGTAAATTTGGATTTTTAGTGAAAACTTTGACTAGGAGGTGGTTGATTGCGACAAAAAAAAAAACCTATTTTAAATAAATTCAAGGTTCGTGAATTGTATCCCACCAAGACCTAAACGCTACAAAAATAAGTCTCGTGCTATGAATGTGAGTTTTTTAAAGGCAATTTTGGTATTTTTAGTGAAAACTTTGACTAGGAGGTGGTTGATTGCGACAAAAAATACCTATTTTAAAAGTGGTTTATGCATATTGAAAGGTGGGTTTCCATATAAATACCCTACTTTAAGTTGGTTTCTAGGAAAAAAAAATCCTAACAGTAATAATATTATTTTATTTTTTTGTCTACAAGGTTCATTCTCATAAAGTTGGAATTAACTACAGGAAATCCTGTTTCAAACTTTCAGTTGTGTTGCCAGCTCATGACCATAAGATATACACAGTCTAACAATCCTTAATATGCTTGAGATGATACAAACAGTCTTGCATTTCTCCTGAATTATGTTAAATAAAGTGTTGCTGATTTTTTTATGTTACTTATTCAATGTCAGTATGTATGTGTTTCTTGTGCCTAATACCTCATGTTATTACTTCAGGTTACTGGAGTATGTTCCTATTGGGCCTCGCTTCTCAAATCTGATTTCACAGACATTGATGGTTCTTCTGAAACGGCTTCCTCCAAAGGTTTTCTTTTCTCCATCACTTGCCCTCTAATGATTGATAAGAAAAGAGAGGCTGAATAATGTGTTGATTCCTTTCTCTCGGATTTTTGTATATAGCAACTAAGACTAACTTTTTTATACATATATTTTATTAAGCATGTTAGCCATGTTTTTGTTAATAGTTCCTGTTTTCCTCTTTCTTTGCCTAATGTTTCATATTTCTTATGCATCGTTTGCCTTTTCCTTTTCCGTACTTAATCTTATTTATGAATAGGGTTAGGTGTTGCAGCTATATCTTACTGAATTTTATTGTGAGATATTGTCAATCTCTTTAATATTCTGATGGTATCAATAATTAGAACATTTGGACACGATTGCAATAACTGATTTATTTTTCTACAGGGGAAGAACATGCTGGTAATTGGAACAACAAGTGAAGCGGGCTTTCTTGAGTCTCTTGGTATTTGTGATGCTTTCTCTGTCACTTATCATGTCCCTACGTTGGACAAACAAGATGCCAAAAAAGTAAGTTGATTCTAGAAAAGTATGCTAAAAATGAGTAGGCAATTAATATGAGTAGATATATATAATATTCTTCTTCGTTTTTGCTTTTTCTTGGGGGTTATTAGCACTTTACCAAGGGTTAAGAGGATCATAGTCGTGTCGTGTTAAAATGGTAACTGGTAGAGTTTTGAAGGGTTTTCGTGTTTGAAGCTGCTATCTTCGTGTGTGCAATAGGGGTAGCAACCATCTTTGCACAAAGTACCCAATAGCCCTAGGGAGGCAATTCTAACACTCTTTTCTTAGCACGAATACTGAAGTACTAAAATGCTCCTAAGTCCTAAGTGTCACAATTTTCTTCCGCAGGTACTGCAATCTCTCAATGTATTTGCAGATGACGATATTGATTCAGCAGCTGAAGCAGTCCATGATGTAGGTTTATTCTATTCTGTTAATTCATTATCTGTAGACTTCTACTAATTCTGTTATTCATCAATTGGGCAGAACATATAATAAGATCAATTAGATTTAGTTGATGTCTCTTCTTGCACCTTTTCAATATAAAGTGGACTAGCTTTCATTACTTAGTCTATATATCATTTTTTCCGCGTGATTATATGACTTGTTGCAGTGAAATGTAACGACTATATTTAATTTGTTCTTACACAATGCTATGATGTTGCAGATGCCAATAAAGAAACTATATATGCTTGTGGAGATGGCTTCCCAGGGAGCAGAAGGTGGAAATTCAGAAGCTATTTATTCTGGGAAACAGAAGATAGACATAAACCATTTCTTTGATATCTTGGGTGATATTATCTCTTTCCGAGGCTGAGAACTCTTTACTGATTTTTGTATACGTGTGACGATGGGTGTGTTATTGTTTCAGGGATTTTCCCCCTTCATTTTTGCTTTATGAGTTTCGATCCCATTTTTCTTTTTTTCCCCTCTACCTTTTCTTCCCTTAACTGATCTTTGCCTATGCATATTGTCTTCTAATTATATTTCTGATGGAGTTTTGTGTGCTAATATGGTACCATATTTGGAAAGGGGGTTTCTATTCATAATTATGTAACACAAACATGATTACTTTATGCACGATTTGGACCATTTGTATTGGTTACTGTGGCCTTGTTGGAATATTTGTGTACTTTGGTCAGTATTGTGACCAAACATCTAGATCGTCCCATTTTGCAGTGTGTTGAAGTCTTAGAATGTAGAATCCAAGTATGTACTTGTTGAATTCTCGGTCCCTGGTTTAAGTGTTGAATGGCTAGGGTTTCAGTCGAAGTATTCTTCCCGTTTAGCAGTTCCTGTTATATGTTTTATTCCACGTGTATATTTTTCCCCTTGTTTTGCAAGCACTAACGTTGTAACAGTGGTGTGATTTATTTGTTTAAAAATTCATTCAAGGCTACTTGCCAAAATAATGAATAATATGACTCCGTGGAGCTTATTAGGAATGCAACGGGTCTTCATATGTGGACCAACAAAATTAGCTAACTCGATCAGTTTTTACTGTCAATTTTTTGTGTAACATGCTGTTAGCTAATTGAATCAGTTCGCTCATGCGCCCTTTTTCTTATTCCTCTTTGAAAAATCATGCTTGGTAATGCTTAGATGCGGGTACATAAGAACTGGTCTGTAAGCTTTATGCCGAAAGAGCTCAGTGATAATTCATCAAAGTGACTACTTATGGCATTTGTTCTTTGGCAGCGTGCCTAACCAGATGATTCAAAGATTAAGGATGGTAAGGAAATATACTCTACTCTCCAGATGATTCAAAGATTAAGGATGGTAAGGAAATATACTCTACTCTCGGCTAATGCTCGTATATATATCATATATGGAAAAAAGAATGAGTGAACAGTCATGATGTACAGAATGGCGAAGAAGGATTTGAACATGGAACTTTCAACTACTATTGCAATGCATACAAAAATAGCACAAAAAATCTTCTTACATTCCCCTTGAGCACCTCATATCATCCTTAGGAAGGCCTTCAAAAGCAAAAATCTACGAAGTAAAACCATATGGCCGTTGCTGCGCAAGACAGTAACCTTCATCGTAACCCAATATATTATGCAATAAACCATTAGTAATGTGATCCTTAAACTTATAGCAAATACTTCAAACTAAAACAACTCCCCTCTTTAACATGAGTATGGAGAACCTCTCCTTTCCCAATCCTTCCCGTAATGAATTCTAGCCAACCGACATGATTGCTTCTTCAACAACCTAAACAATGAAGGCCTTTCCTTTGGTACGAATCCAAAATCATCGTTATACTCTTCCATGCCTTCAGCAATAAGTTGCCAAATTATTGCACCTGCTCCAGCTCCATTCTTGCTCGCAGATTTATATATAAGATCGTAGATGGACTGGTAGAATATGTCTCTGTGAGAATGATCAAACTTCTTGTTCTTGTTTGAGAGTCCGAATTCAGAGAACAAAACTGGTTTTTTAAGCTCTCGTTCTCCATCTTCTATGTGAGAGATTATCCATTTGGAGATGTACTTGGTTTTCTCATCAAGTTCAGTTTCTATCATCCTGAAAAGAGGACAATCAAATGACGAAATCCGAAGAGTTTAAAGAAGGTTTAATTTCACGAAATCCCCCCATGAACTTCCTGGTTTCTCAAAAAAACCTCCTGAACTGTAAACTTTTTTCATTTGACCCTTACCTCTAACTGGCAAATAACTAAAAATGTCCCTGAGAGAAAAATACACCCAAATTTAGTCATTTTCCAACACACTACACCTCAACACCATTGAGAGTTTTTTCCTCTCAAGGACGTGTTCGTGAGTATTTGCAAATTAGAGGTTTGACACCCCAAAGTTCGGAGAGGTTTTGTGAGATAAAATATGTTCAAGGGGTTTATATACAAATCCCCAAAGTTCGGGTGGTGGGGTGGGATGGGGGGGATGGGGGTAACCCTTTAGAGAATGTGCTTACCATTGATCAGGATATATATGTACAGAAGTGAAGTCAATGGTTGAAATCTTGGAGTTTCGAATGAAATCAGTTCCTAAGGTACTGAACCATTCTCCTGGATTGAGACTGAGTTTTTCTGGAGGGCTTCTTGGTCCATAGAAACCTTCAAGTCCAATTGTAACTAGATGATTCCTGTCTATTGATTTTACATATTTAGACATGTCTTCAATCCATTCCTGAAAGTACAAACAAGAAGGATTAGCGGATATCTTAATCAATTGGTGAAATTATACCGAAGTGCTTTCTGAAATCATATTGAATATATTGGTGTTTTGTATGTTTGTAGTGTTACATTCACGAAAGTGGTCATGTTTTGGTATATTTGCTATTTTTTAGTAAAAATCATACCGTATTCTATTTCATGGTTGTAAGTGTGCGGCAAATTAACTCCTCCAAAGTTGTCTTTTCCCCTCAAAAAGAACTCTGCTTAAATATATGTAGTTGTAGTGTAAAGAGAATTTAAAGAGAGCTCAGGCTGAATATTATTGTCTGCTTTGTGGGAAAGTTCTTCATCCAGACTACTTAATAATAGAACAGAATTGTTATGTACTTCAGTGAGTTTGATCAGAAGTAAATTATCACATATTCCTGTTAAACTTTAGCATTACATTTTGAGTGAAGTTAATTTAAGCTACCCACTTGTGATGCAACCAAGACTCAAGAATTACAGAAGCTTATGCCGTTGATATTTACAATTTGTGTATCAGCTCGACGACACAAGCATTATGACAAAAGGCAATTCGTGCGCTAAGAAAACTGAATCTCCCTTGGAATTCATTAGTTGAAGATGAAAATCGATGAAAATCCTGTAATAACTATCTACTTTCATTTTCCAGTATCTTCTTTTAGCCAAGTGCTGGAGATTGTCCTTTTCAACACTTATTCCTCTAACATACAGTGTGTGTAGAGTCTACAAATAATAAATTTTGTCACACGTGACACTCCTTAATTATAAAGTTCTCTATCAATCCCATTGTTAATTTATGGATTCTCAACTGACAATACATTCAAGGGTTAATTGCAAATAGACGCCCTGTAGCTTCATTGTTGCAGATAGACCCCCCCCCAAGTGACTTACTTTTTTACCCTCATGATGTCTATTTGTCAAAAAACAATATTCTCTTTCTCTGATGGTAAAAGAGTAACAAAAAGACCTCACTCTGGGGGTCTATCTGCAACACTAGAACTACAGGGGGTCTACCCACAATTGGGCGATAGTGTGGGGGGCTATCCGCGATTAACCCTCAAATTTAATGAGATGACAGATACATGGTAAAAACTTACTTGGAGAGTGTCTCCAGATTGATCAGTTGTGCATCTTGGTTCGTTCATCAGCTCCCAAGCAAAGATGGTAGGATCATCTCTATATTCAATACCAGTCAAATGGTTCTTCCTGGTTAAAATAGTCTGCAAAATATCACTACTTTAGCTAGCAAAACAAGCAGTCATGCATCAGTCAACAATTTTACCAAGTGATTCTCATTTCACAAGTAGCACCAATAAAATTTCTTTTTGGGTTAAAAAATCCACCTAAAGTTTGCATGATTGACAGAAATCCCCCATGGTTTTAATAGTGACACTTAACCCTCTTTCTTTTGATTTCTACAAAATTAATGAGGTCTAAAAGCTAATAGCACAGGAAATGACAATTTCATGCTCCCATATAAGCATTGTTTATATTTGAACTTCATGATTACCTCCAAAATTTGATAAAATGTGTGCGTGGGTTTTCCGCTCGCGGGATGGATTTTTTGTATATCATGAACTTTCTGTGATTTACGCATTTATTTTTAAATGTGAACATATAAATTATCGAAGAGAAAAGGCAAAAAATAATGTTCACCTTCAAGTAATTCTTGAAATAGCTTTTGATGGATGGATCGAAGAAGAAGGAGTCGTTGGAGGAGCTAAGGCTAATGCCATCCTCCCAGGCCCATTTCACATACTGTCTTTTACCGCCAACTGATGGTAAATCGTCCGATAAGCTGAGTAAAAGCCTTATTTGTTGCCTCCGCGCCTCCACAATTACATAGTCCAATGCCTGAAAATGTGCCTTTTTTATCAAATATCAATAGGGGTGAAATATAAGAAACATAAAAGATAAATAGTGTAACTAATGGTGTCAAATGGTTAATTTGGTTATTTCCTTCACTTTTTTTTAATAAAAGTTTGAAAAGAATCACATTTTGTTATGTCTAACCAGAGTTCGAAACTTTTCTCACCTCATAGTCATAGAGATCTTAAAAATACTATTGCATAGTGTTATGCCAATAGAAAACACTTGTAAGTCAATAAAACCACAAACCCGTATAATACTTTTGTGGATTCTGAGAAAGTAATTCATGTTTTTATCTTTCATTTTTTGGTGAGTTGGGATGGAGGAAACAATATGAAAATCTCCTAACATAGCCATATTTAAAGTTATATTTTGGATGGATAAAGGATAAGAAAATCCCCTAAAACAATCATATTGAAAACTTCTAGTCTGAAGATAGATTTAGAACTGCATGATTATCTCTTCAATATTGCACATGGTTGTTTCCTACTTTGACTATGTATATTTTCAAGCGAAAGAAATATTTAATAAACTTCTGTAACTAGCAAATCTATGAAAACTCAAAAAGGTGAGTTCTTTTTCTATGGTAAAGCATCAATAAACTCAAATTTCAAGTCTACAAATCTCTAATCTATTGTAATATTACCAAACTTGAGCAATAAAAACAAAACAAAGCAAAGAGATCTAGATCAAAGATCAAAAACCTGAAACACCCTCTCATCAAACTGCCCAAGAGACAACTGCAGTGCATTATAAGCCCCATCATTAAAAGCCCAAGTCCTGCAAACAGTGAGTCCCATCCTAGCTGCAGCCTGAAACATCTCTCTAACCCTTGGCCTGCTGAAATCTTCCACAGCTTGATCCATTAACCACCATGAGTTCCACCCATTCACATAGAAAGCTCTCCCATCAACAAAGAACTGAGTCCCATTTCTCCCCACAAAGCTCATTTTGGGCTCTGAGAATCTGTAGTCAAAGCTAAGGTCAAGATCTCCAAAGGACATGTAGATGAATGCAACACAAGATGCAAAGCCAATGATTGGGTATAATAACCCATTCCCTAGAAACATTTTGGTGTAAAACTTGAAGGAGGATGTTAATGGAAGAAACCCAGAAGAGAAAGAGGATTTAACTTAGCTCAAAATCAAATCTTGAGCTAGCTAAGTGACAGGGGTCACAGAAACAGAGACGATGTATAAAAAAATGAAGTTTTTTCTTTAATAATGTAAAGGAGATGGTGAGCTTTATTCTTGAGAGCTTCACTTCAAGAATCTACAAAAAGAGAGGTCTTTGGAGTTCCGCCCAAGAGCAGAGCTCACATGGGCATTTATCTGAGCAAAGGCCAATTGGATCTGAAGCTCTTGGAGTGGCAAAATAATGTTAACACTTAGAGTTTCTTAATGAGGAGATGCTTAGCCTATTTTATTTGTTTTATATTTGGAGGCAAGTGAGGTGCAGGATGGGCATCAAATGGTGCAAGCCTTCTCTCATTGTATCTTGTCACGAATCACCTATCAATTATAGGGTGCTAATCATTATCAATTATAGGATGCTAATTATGAAAAGGGTTAATTACATATCAAATAAGATTTTAAATAGCATTTGGATCCATCATACGGCGTTATTTGATATCAATGTGTTGCAAAGATTGTATGATATTTCAATATATTGCAGAGAGGCCTCCTACTTTCTAATAGTTGAAAAACATATACTCTCTATGTTATTGGTAGAGAAAAAAATAAATATCTTTTTGAAAATCAGGTGACCATCTAAATATTAAAAGAACAAGTTTAGAAGCATAATTGATTACTTTCTATAATAAAAGAGATGTATCTGCAATTAACACCTTATAAAAGTTGTCACATATTACCCTCATTTGCTAATAGATGCAGACGTGTGATCTTGTTTCCCCTTGTCACATGCACCAACATTAATATCATCAATCCATTGAATAATTTCTCCAAATAGTTATGGGTTTACCGTTTACATGATACATAAATTATAACTTTATCTGTTAAATTTGTTACCAATTTTATCTTTAATATAACATGCTATAGGCGATCCAGACAGTGAGGAGGTTTCAATATGCCTTCAACTATCTTGGATTCGATTTCTGGGTAGGTATAAAAAAAATTATATTTAGTTTAAGATTGCAATACTTTGCGCATCAACTTATACACTGAAGAACATAGTTGTATCTGACAATGGGGCCCATATGAGATAGAGGGAGTGATTTATTGTTTTATGGGCTTTCTTCATTTGAGTGTGAAAAGGAAAAGGGTGTGTTTTGTGCTTTGGATACAATTGGCACTGGATCTATGGACTATGGTGCATGTGAGCTTCATAATAGGTCAATAATAAGTTACAAACATTAGGGATCCCTTTGTCTTGTTGAGGAATAAAATTTCTTGCACCTGGTTATTCCTCACACCCAAACTCACACTTTGTAGCATTGGCACGGGGTATGCACATGGGAGAGCGCTCACGAGTCATAGAAAGGGAGTGATATCTTCGGTTTTCTCTTTCTGTATCCCTAGATGTCAAGTGAACAGAGATTAATCAATATATCCATCTATAATTGTTGGGAATTTATCAAATAATTAATATTATAGCATGTAGATAAATCTGAAAAAATAAACAATTAAAACTGGCCTGAACGGGAGCAGTCGTGTATTCACTGCCCTAGAAGATTGAGAACCCGCCTATCGCCCTGGCGCAGATGGTTCCCTCCCCCTAGCGGTAAAAACCCCCGGAAATGGCCGGCCTCTACACTCGGGCGAGAGTGCAGAGCTTCAGCTCAGAAGAAGAAAGTTGCCCATAAAATAAAACTAAGATATAATGAAAATAATATATGTAGGGGAGAGAAGAAAAACAAGAGAAACTTCTTGTTATTTTTCTTATCATTTTGAGCTCAACATATGGATATATATATAGGGTTGGAAAAGACGTTACAAAACCCGTAATTAATTCTGTAACGTTCGTCATAAATTTTGTAACGTTCGTCATAAATTTTGTAACGTTCCCCATAATTATATATCCGTTACACATATTTTAATTACATGTTTTAATTACAATATTTATTATAATTCATGAAGGCAAAAATGCCTTTTGTTAACAAAATATCTAACAGTCCCCCCCCCCAAAAGGCAATATTTACCAAAATTTTGAATTTTGAATTCTACCAAGCAAACTAAACATAAAATTTGGAATTGGATGGAGTATAGATATCATGTGCTGATAATTTACGTGGCCTCGAAGAAAACACAAATAGCTTTTGTTCATAAAACTACGTAGTACTCGTAACTACTACTACTGCTAATATAAATAAAATTGTAACATGATTTGAATTCTTGCTTGAGTGCCAAGAATATGTAATAAACTTCAACCTACTTCAGATCAGATATGAATTAAAAAAAAACCACTACTACTAATATAGTAGTAGTAATAATAATAGGATACTGAAATTGAGTGGCTAGAATAATAAAACTTCAACCTACTTCAATCAGATATGAAACTAACAAAATCTGTTACGCTTACAGCCATAAAATAATAGAATGCTTATCAAGATGGCGAGATCAAAAACAGCATATCAGTACTAGCATGTTAGGGATTCGTCCTATCGATAACCTGTCAAATGAACCCTCTCGCGGAATTAACGTGCTCTCCGAATATTATGCTGAAAGAAGGCAAGAATAAATCACAGCAAATAAAAGAAAACTTTACAAGGAAAAAATAGAAAAGAACACCAAAATAAATTTTTTAAAATTCTTCTATTATAAGAGGTTACAAATTGGTTGCCTACAAGGAGACCTTCCAAATTTAAATCGATTGTCTACAAATGAGACCTTCCAAATTTAAATTGGTTGCCTACAAATGAGACCTTCCAAATTTAAATTGGTTGTCTACAAAGGAGACCTTCCAAATTTATGTTGCCATTTTCTAGTACCACCTCTTATACAAATAATAATAATAATAATATTTGTACATACGTGCTTTAAATTTTTCAAGTGCATTCTTGCATAAAACCTTGTAATTAATCATGTAACAAATGCAAGTTATCTAAAAAGACATATGAACATTTATTGCAATATTCATCAAAATGCAATAAAAATGATGAACTTTACATTTGAAGATTTGAAATATAATCCACCATATAAAATAGAATTTTAAAAAATGCACCTCTTTGATTTGTTCGCTCATATATTGATCATTTATCATTAGGCAATATATGATGCAAGAAGCGTAATTAAATAAATGCATATGAATTTTTCTCATAATTCTGATTCCTCTTATTCCAAACCAAAAACTCCTAAAGTGAAAAGATTAAAGTTTTACCCGGGTAGTTAGCCAGGTAAGGATAGTAATAGAGGTTGATCAAAGATCAATTAAGTACCTCGTTCCTTGCAGAGCGCGTTACGCAACCCTTAAACCTTGCCTTAGACACCAACTAATCCAAGAAAACTTGAATCGGTTCACTCAATGAGTTTTTGTTCCTTAACAGTATATAGAAACTTTAAATTATTTCCTGTAATCATTTAAAATGCCTAGCAATTATACTGCAAACATATGTTGGATAAGGCCGAGGAGGGGTTTACCTATTGATGTTCGAACCTCATGATTTTCATGTCTTGAGAGTAAAAACTCATCTGCTGCAGACAACTGCCACAGAAGTTGCTGAACAAATTTGCATTCACTTTTACCACCTTCTGTACTAAGCTTATTAGATGCATAAATACACTAAAGTATGGAATTATTAATAGAATGCACCATATTATTGATAGCTTAAAGAAATAATAGTATTAAACCATGAACAAATCCAGATATTTCAAAGCATCTATGCATCCAGAGTTTGTTCTCTTTATTCTTGTCAAAACCATGCATATAAAATTTTTAAGAATAAAATGTGCATTGCTACAAATTTATTGCATGTTTCAAATGCGAGCATATTCACTAGCACAAGGGAATAAGGGTAGGTTTTAGATGATTCTAACAAATATAAACTAGGCTTTTAGAAACCAATAAAGGTTCTTTGATATTCGTAACTTACAATAATTATTGATTATAAACCAACTATAAGACAAATGTAATTAACTGTTAAATTAAATTAACTGTTAAATTAAATTAATAGAAATATTTAGCTACAATTTTTTAATTATTATTATTTTTTTTAAATAACCAAAACTGTTTACATGAACAGTAACTTTTTTAATAAAATGAACAGTACCATTTTCAAAATAAATGAACAGTAACATCATTTTTAAAATTAAACAGTAACGTTAATTTTTTAAGAATGAACAGTAACGACATTTTTATAAATGAGCATTAACATTCTTAAAAATAAATAAATAGTAACGTTCTTTTAAAAATGAACAGTAACGTTCATTAAAATGAATGAACAGTAACACCAATTTTTTTAATAGATGAACAGTAACGTTCATTAAAAATAAATGAACGGTAAAGTTTTTTTTTTTTAACATTAAAAATTGTTTTAAATGAACAGTAATGTTTTTTTAAATAAAATTAAAAACTGTTTTTTTATAAACAGTACAATCTTTATTTTTGGAATGAACAGTAACCATTACAATTTTTTTTTTCAAATTTTATAACATCAAATCAATAATACTAATAGATAAACAAATATATAATTATAGTTAACAACAACTATAAAATTCCCTCTGTTTTTTTTAGGTAAACAGTAACAAAACCTTTTTTTTAACAAAAAGTTAATTAATAGATAAGCAATTTAGTAGCAATTTTATTTTTTATTTTTTTAAATTCGGATGAACAGTAACCATCTCGAATGAACAGTAACTTTAAAATAATTTCGGATTTAAATCAAAGCTATAAACTAATCAATCTTCTAGATTGTTGGGAATTTATCAAATAATTAATATTATAGCATGTAGATAAATCTGAAAAAATAAACAATTAAAACTGGCCTGAACGGGAGCAGTCGTGTATTCACTGCCCTAGAAGATTGAGAACCCGCCTATCGCCCTGGCGCAGATGGTTCCCTCCCCCTAGCGGTAAAAACCCCCGGAAATGGCCGACCTCTACACTCGGGCGAGAGTGCAGAGCTTCAGCTCAGAAGAAGAAAGTTGCCCATAAAATAAAACTAAGATATAATGAAAATAATATATGTAGGGGAGAGAAGAAAAACAAGAGAAACTTCTTGTTATTTTTCTTATCATTTTGAGCTCAACATATGGATATATATATAGGGTTGGAAAAGACGTTACAAAACCCGTAATTAATTCTGTAACGTTCGTCATAAATTTTGTAACGTTCGTCATAAATTTTGTAACGTTCCCCATAATTATATATCCGTTACACATATTTTAATTACATGTTTTAATTACAATATTTATTATAATTCATGAAGGCAAAAATGCCTTTTGTTAACAAAATATCTAACAATAATTAAAAGGTGAACCCACCACAGCCCACAGGTGATAAATAAAAGAAACTTGTCCTAAAGTGCACATTTGGTTCCAGCATTGAGTCCCTGTAACTATGATTATATTTCAAACTTAGCGTGATGAATTGGTGAATGTTGGAGTCATATTTCAGGACTTTATGGTTTAAAATATGAGTAGTCAAGCAAGCAATATGCTTTTCCCTCACTTCTTCGGAGTCTACTTTTTAATGTGAACTTGTATTATTTGAGCTTGGATGGTTCCAATATCATCTTCAAGCATTACTCTTTACATCAAAACCTCAAGAACATTGAGTATCAGGGTATTATTATAACAAGAGTTCATTGGCCTTAATATCCTTATCTTTATGTATTGTAGGTTGTCTAAAAATTATTGCAGATAGATAGTCCCCGTAAAACACTGACGACTTTCACGACAACATACGAGAGTTACAAATTGACGACTCTCACATTCCAAAGAGCCAAATGCAAGGATTATAAGATGACGATTTTTGCAGAACTTGAAAAAGAGATTACAATTATCGATCTTTTCAAAGCAAAACGCGAGGGTTCATCCCCGCGTACCAACTGTAAAAACGCGATGGTCACCACCGCGTTTCAATTCCAAAACGCGAGAGTCACCCCCGTGTACCAACTTCAGACGCGAGGGTCGACCCCCTCGTTTCATAGGCTAAACGCGAGGGTCACCCCAGAACGCAAATCTCGCGTTTGACCGTTTCAATTGCAATTTGAATGGTTCAATACCGTTTTCCACATAATGGGGCTATTAAACCCCTATTATGAAGAGATTTATGGGGTCAGTTACACCCCTAGATCTCTATAAATAGCTGTGAATTCAGCTGAATAAAGGGCTTTTTGGATCATTTTGGGTTGGCTATCTTTGAGATCGGCTATTGCATTGAAGAGAGAAAAGTCATTGGCTTATTTTGGCTAAAAGGATTGAAATTCCTTTCTGAAATTAACCCTCTTGCAGAGTTCTAAACTCATTCAGAGTTCTGACTTTGCCTTGTAAGTTCTTCTAAGACGTCAAGCTAAGAAGCGAAGAAGAACTTTCACGAAGCAAAGCGTTCGGATTGTTAACGTGATACAAGAATCAAATTCCATCGCCACCAAGAAGAACCCAGCATTAAACAAAAGGAAAGATCATTATCGATTCTTCTCTCTTTTGTAAATCAGAAAATCGATAAGAAAGTTGTGATTTCTTTTTCTAAGTCAGTTAGAGAGGGATTACTTTGAGAGATTGTAATTACTCTTTTCCTAAGTTAGGGAGATTAATACTAATTTATTTCTCAACCCCACAAACATGTATATAAACGGTATGCCCAAAATGAGTAGAAATTCTATCTGAATACCCCACTGTGGGCATGGGCTAAGTCGGGCCTGAGCCACGAATTGGCCTTCTCGGTTTTGGTTCATGCCTGTTTAGATCCGGGGTGGGCAGGCCTCAGCGTGTCAGGCCAAGGACTTTTTCCATAGGTCTAGAGCTACACCGAGCCCGACCCATGTCCAGCAGGAGTCTGGGCCGGGTCGAACTCGACCCACGACAGTTCGAGTCACCGGTTGCCCCACATTTTGTATTTTTTTCCAAATTTTTTGATAGATTAATATGTATAGTTTAAAGAGAAAAATCTATCTTTTATCTTTCTGAAAAGTTTTAACTTGTATAAATTTATAATTGGTGATGGAATTATCTCAAAGTACAAAAGATTCATAATAATTTGAGTGTTTTTAGTAAATCAAAATGATTATAAATATTTATTAAAATACTAAATTAAACTTAAAAAATTTCTTTTACCACTAAAATTATAACTCTAACATCTGCAGGTTGTAATTTTTAATCGAGTTGCTACTAAAATACCTCTCAATATAACTATTATCTAAGGCGGGCGGGGCCAGGTTGGGCCGGGTCAAGTCTTGCGTGGGCCGAGCTTACTTTGTCCATGAGTTTAGAGCGGAACCTAGCCCGCCCCACCACCTGGGTATATCACAGCCGGGTTGGGCCTGGCCAACTATGGATTAGGCCAGGGCTAGCTAGGCCGGTTCAGCCCGCACTGGCCCACAACCACCCTTACACCAATCCGAGCCTTGTAAGAGGAGAATGGGTTACCAAAATTGTCCTCGTATTTGGCATATATACAACTTGGAACCCGCTGCAAAATGCGGGTTGTTCTTATAGGATTCATACTTTCCGCCCAAAATGCAGTCATTTGTTAAAAAAGAAAAAAAAAACCCGGGGAGAAAGAAACTTGCTACGGTTACTTGGATATTTCTAGTCTCAATTATAAGAAACCTCCAAGCTAGTTGTTATAATTCGAAAACAGAGTTCCTAAAAAGGTAATCAGTGCAAGCGCCTAGAGATCCCTGTATCCTTTTAAAGTTGCTGTAGTGTAGCAAGATCTAATCTAAATTTCTCGAACTCTCAAAACTTCTCAATTGAGAAGGATCTAATTAACCTAAACGGGTTAAAACTTTGTTTTCATCCGATGCAGAAAAGATGTTACTATGACTATGTTCCTAATTAATAGTTCCCGTGGAGAAATCACTCAGTCTACGGAGAGAAAGAAAATGACACCGTATCAAAGAAACAGATCATTGAATGATTATGAGAAATTGATGTAGTAACCTTCCTTTTTGCTTAAAAAATAATTAATTCCCTGTCGGTTTTAAGAATTATCCCCCCCACCCCCCATTTCACAATTTTTTTATTACATTATCACGAGAAAAATAGTATATTTGTGTTGTTTTCAATGCATGAATGCCTATAAGTCCATCTTAGTTGGCATGAATTATCTGTGAACTGGGTATTTGAGTTTTATCCCCTCAAAGAAACAAAGGGCAGTCTTGAGGTGGGAACCAGGGATTTTAAAGATGCCGGGGTTTCTTCCAACATTTGTCAGACACACCATGTGAGCATGATCTGAATGATTGCTCACAAACTTCTGCTGGTTCGGAGGTGACAATCGAGCGAATCATATCGATACCCGATTCAAGGAAGAGGGATGCCAAACTCAATTGTGAAGCAAATACAGTTTTATGATCTGAATTAACTCGAAAAATAACCACTTTATCACTAATTGTAGCACCGTAATTAATAAACATTTAGTGGAATTAACGAGAGAGCTGTGCATAAAGTAAAAATATCAAGAAACAAAAGTGAAGGATATCATGGAAAACAAAAGTAAGTGAAGGAGCGTATGGATTCAGCGGTCGTGCACTATAGAATCCTGACGGATTATAGAATAAGGTTTCATGAATGCGGTACTGCTTAGACCCCTCACCAACAAGAGAACATGACTTCACAGCAAAGCAGGACAGAGCTTTTCGGCTCGAATTCTAGTTTACCCTGACCGAAGGCTCCTGTATGAAATAAACTGATCAGAGCCAAGTTATTATGATTTCAAGTAATCACAGTGCGCCCCCAGTTGCTTGATAGAAACATTTGTTTTGCAGCGAAGCCTCATACTGCAGATTACAATTGTGATCTGCTTAAAAATTCACGGTGGGTTCTACGTATATTTACTGATGACTTGCACGATAACATGAGTTGGGCAGCATCATAGTTGCATGGGATCAGGTCCGTTCCGATTCACGGAACAGGAACATGGTACACTACTTATTTGGAATAGGATACGAGGGGGTAAGCTTATTTGGTTGAAAAGTTGTACACTTTAAATTTGGCTATTATTTGCAAGAATCTAGGTTCCTTAATGTACAATTTTATGCAAGAATCCAATTCAAAGATCAATAATGGTAAAGTTATTTTCAAATCGCAATTAACACTTTTTTTGTGTTTTTTGGTAAATGGTTGTTTTTTTTTCCTTCCAAAATATTAACTAATTTGAATTCTAAATTAAATCACTAGATACAGGACCCTACGGGTGGTAAAAGATCGAATCGAATCGAATACTGAGATGTTTGTATATGTATTTGTTCAAAATTATCAAATTCGAACCCAACTTTGAATATCCACATGGAGTTTTTCGAATTCAAACTTGAATACATATGGTGTGTTTGGGAGTTTACTTAGGGAAGAGAAGGAAGGGGAAGGAAGGGAAAAAATTCCCCTTCCTTCCCTTTCCCTCCATTACACCCCAATTTGGGGTGTAAGAATTTGGGCCAAATTTAATTTCCCCTACATTCCCCTCCTCTACCCTCCAAAATGAAACTCCCAAACAAAATTAAAATGAAATTTCCCTTGCCTTCCCCCTCTCTACCCTCCATCCAAACAGACCATATGTGTTTGGTAAATATTCATGAATATTCACGAATATTTATCGAACGTCAAAGTATATGCATTCTACTAAAGAATTTAATTTTCAAATACTAGTTAAATTTATAAATGGAAATTATTCCTTCATAATTATGATGAAGTGATCTTAGAATCTTTAACTCTCACAAAATTAGTATATAGAATATATGACTTAAGTAGAAAATATAAGTGGGTTGAAAATATATCATCATATGCGTAATAATACAAATTATAAACGATTACTTGATAAGCAGATGAATCGAATATACAATCGGTTAAATTTTATTTGTTAATAAACTCTAATACTATATTATTTGTTTAGCGTTAAAAAATGAAATATGAAATTGAATATCTCCGAATAGTTACTCGAACAATTAACAAACTATTTATCAATTATTTGATTCATTTCCACTCCTACAGGACCCAATTTCCTAATGTACCGTGTTTCTAGACAAATATAATGTCCCACATTCCCAACATCTATGGCTGTACTAACAACAAATTCTTCATTTTTATGTGTACTATGGGCTGGGGAAAACGTTTTGATTCAAAACCAAATTTTCAATTGCTCAAGTTTCATTTGATGTAGCCAAGTTTAGTACTATTATGAGAGATTACGAAGTCTACAGAGTTACTGGCAATCTATTGATGCTCAAATAAAAATAAAAAAATAGCAAGAAGTTACAACCATAAAAGAATAATCAAATGCTTTCTTTTGTTTCCATATAATTGATATTGACGAAGACTTTAGGTTTTAGGGGGAACACAACAGCTCATACACTATTTATTTTTAGTAGGTTATATACAGCAAAAATGAATATAACTAATAACAATTTCTGACAAAAAATTAGAGCATTGTTCTTCCTAAATGAACACCAACAATAAAACAATTACTCCCCGCCCCACAATGAAAATTTTTTGATTTACTAGTGGGAAAAAATGGAAAATTGACAAAATTTTATAATGAATTGGGGTCTCGTATACTGGCAGCTCCTTTGAGACGATGTCTTTTGGAACCTGATCTACCCTTTCCACGCCTGGATGATTGCTTTCTAGGTGATGTAGATTTTGGTGTTGTCACTAATTTCTCTAAATTGTGAACCTCTTCAGATGTTGATTTCCTCGGTAGTTCTTTAACCGGACTTGGTAGTTCATTAATAGGACTTCGTGGTGGATGTTGATTTTGGGCTGCACGTCTTTGCTCTAACAAGTCTCTGTGGTATGCCTGCACAATAGCAAGCATGGATAAAGCTAAAAACAGAAATTGTATAATGCGCTTAGAAAGAGCATCAAATCCCCATAGTTGTATTTCTCTGACCACTATACACAATTTTATCTGCTTTATCCCACTAAGCAAGCAGCAGTGTTAAATAACCGCGGTACTCTTTGGTTTGTGGTACAGTGAGGAATTGAGACTTAATTGGAGCAATGTTTGGAGTCATGCTGTATTTGGGAGCATTGACCGCGGTAAGTCCAACAAATATGGATGTTTTATATGCGAGCATGTAGAGGAAAAAAAAGGCATACATGCATATTTGAAGAGATGTACTAGGAGTGTAAACAGGGAAAATATGGTGTTGATATTCATACTACCACATTTGTATATTTGTTTCCTTCTTGATGCTACAAACATGAATCAAATATTGTTTGGATATTGAACTCTGTCCATCACTGATAAAATGAATTCAGACTTGAATTGGAGACATTAACTGGGTATTATTGATTATGGCTGAAGTTTTGAAAGGAAAAAATGAGTTTGACCTTGAATTATTTATATCAGTCTACCTATCTATCTAGCAATGCATCTATCTATCCATCTATCTGTGTATGTGTGTGCACGCAAATGTGTGTGTGTAAAGCAGTAGATAGTGATATCCATGTGTTAAAATAAGAATATGAAATTAAATATGGATGGGATTTGTATTCATTCGTATCCCTACAAAGGATTATGATAATAGAAAGCTTCAGTTTATGGATCCAGTCGGACCTTATTTAATATTTATACAAAAATAGAAGTCTAGCTTAGTTTTAATATGAGCACAATTGCAGTTCAATCAAAATTACCTTTAAAGTCCTAACTGGAATACCAATAACTCTATCGAAGAAAAGGCTAAATACGATCACCAAATATATAAAAAGAACTCATAGAACAAAGTTCTTCTATTTCTCACTCATCACCAGTTTTGGCAATCTGATTGGGAATACTCCATAATTTGGAATGCATTAATTAGATCGCAAATCGAGGGCTGATGGAGTTAGTAAACTACTAAACTCTGAGTACAAACATGTCCTAGTTAAAGCAAAAGAAATACTAAGGACACAATACAAATTTGAATATTACCAGGAATAAGGAAATAGACACTACTGAATAGAAAGCATAAATACCTGAACAACAAAGTTGCGCCTTTCACAATCCATAAACATGTATGGTGTCCAATTTGTTTTAGAACTTAACTTGTCCCTTGTCGTGCTGTAACTCAGTTGATCCCTGGAAGTAAAACGATCGACTTCATTGAACCACAGACAGGTGAAGAGGTTAGTAATGGGAATATGCTCTTTGATGATCACACATCCTTCAGGAACATCTGCATATTAGCAAAAAGATAATTATTAGTGAGATTCATATCTGATTCTTAGTAGGAGCTGAAACAAAATTCTGAACTCACCACTGGTAATAGGATATTTATCTGGAGAAAAATGAGTCAAACCCTCCTTTTTATAGAACTCTATTTGATAATCAATGGAGGCATTGTCATATTTCCCAGCAGCTTTATTAGCATCTGCTTCCTCAAATACATCGAAGCGTCTATAATGCCTGGAGATTGCAAAGGTGGCATTATTCCGCCACAAGAATCTGAAAGATTAAGAAGAGGCTCAAATTTTTGAAGACTGAATGATGAAATAGTTTCTAAATTTATTGGCATCACATGTAAACATACACAAGTTACAAAGTTAAGCTATGAAACAAAAGATCAAAGAAGAATATTGTAGGCGTCTAAAAATGCCTATAGGTATCCATGTACAGCTCGAGACAGAGAGAAGGTGATGAACGCCACTACCTAAGTCTAAGAGGATTATCCGACGCCGATGAGCACATGAAGCGAAACGGCGAACCGAATAGCCTATACACTCACCGACCACCTCCAAATGGCCCGTGTACTCGCCAGCTACCAAATCGGCAAACCAAGTGGCCTGCGTGCTAATCGGCCACCTCCAAGCGGCCTGTGTACTCACCAGCCACCAAATCGGCGAACCAAGTGGCCCGCACGCTCATCGGCCACCGACAAGCTATCCATGCGTTCGCGAAACGAATCGGGAAAGCGTACAAGTCAACGAAACGACAAAATACGCGTAACGACGGAACAAGTCAAAACCCGGAAAACAGATAAAGCCCCTGGCGGCCGAGTCGCGCCCAAAGCGACCCGAACAGTCACCCGTGCTCAGCGCACGGCGTCCGAGCCACCAAAATGGTGGCCTCGCTTGCCGGCCACCATTTGGTGGCCCGGCCAAGGCCGAGACACGGGTGACTGTTCGGCCAAAAGTTGATTTTTTCGGTTCTTTTATGGGTTCTTTCGGGATTTGGGGTTCCAACTGCTCTGATATTGTTGTTAGACAGTTTCTAACTGAAGATAGAGAGGATCCCTCGTTTTGAGCTGAAGAAACCATCAATCAAGCCTATAAATAAAAGGCTCGGGTGCTCATTTCTGAAGGGGAGGAGATCAAGAGGGCGAGGTGCTGCCGGTTTCTCAAGTGCATAGCCACGAATTTCAGAGAGGTTTAGCAGATCTTAGCGATCTCCTGTGCATAAAGAGTGGAGTTCGAGAGATCTGAGACCCGTCACCCATTCCTCCGGATTTAAGCTTGGTCTTAAATCCCGAGAAGAGCCGTGATTTTGTTTAGTCAAAATCGCCGCTACTGCAATTACTTCCTTCGTGAAGTGAGAGCATTGATTATCCAACTTCTGCTAACCGGATCTGATCCGCGGCGGTCCACGGATATTAACGTCCCCGGCACAGGCCAAGAACCCACACAAGCAGCGGGTGATAAACGTCCGTTGCGCTGTTTGACAAGAGTTGTAATCTTTATTTTCATTGTGTAAAGAAGATCTTATAAAAAGATCAACTTTTCTTTTCGTTTGAGTTTATTGTAATGACCAAAGTTGTAATAGATTCGATGACAATGAAAACATCAACTTTTGACCCAAACAAATATCATCCAGGTCACATCAAACCCCTTTAGTCCCATCCAAGATTGCACCTCACAATATTATTAATATAAAAAAAATATGAATATTCAATGTATAAAAAGATATTTGGGTAAGAAGAAGTAGTTCTCAAAATAAAAAAGGTATATAGTCAGCTTTTAGAGGATCCCGCCATTTATCTTGATCTACACCTCCAAAAATATCTGATAAAAGGTTAAAAAAGTTAGAACTTAGTGCACCAAGCGTATCATTTTTCTATAGCTGAAATGAAGTATTTTTTGCGACTAATTTTGAACATGAACTAAGTTCTAGAACCACTTAATCTCTTGGTTATAGAGTAAGGTTTATGTGTTGAGAAGTTGAACAATGTCAATCATCCATAACATTACTCATTATAAAGTCCTCACAAAGTTCTTACCATGGATTTCTTACTTGGACATTTCCATAAACATATAACAACAATAGCAACAAATAAATAATAGAAACAATGCACTTTATTAAACCTAATTAGGCAAGCATATCAAATGGTATCTTAATGTTCACATTAGTCCAAGTGTAATGTAACTATAGGTGATGAATACGTGGAGTTTTTTAATGAAAAGTATCAAACAGAATCATGGGTAGGAATGTCTGTCTATGTGTGTGACCACGTGCGTGCATGCATATTTTACTAAAACATATGAGTGTAACAGTGCTCCCTTTCCTGGGTGGATTGGAAGACCGGAGGCATATTCTTGGCATCAAGCATCAAAATACACAATGATGAAAGCTACAAAGTGGACAGTCTTAAACAGCTTGCTAGTACATAGAATCCAGGACTTTGAATTCCTTCAAAGATTAACTTCAGCTTCACCACCACATAAGCTTTATGCTCAAGAGCTTTATAGTGCTTAATACTGAAAAAAAAGTGATATAGAATTCAATGAAAACTATCTGCTGGTAAGGTAAAGCATAATATAATATTCGTGTACTTTGATTATGAATTTGTGGAAGTTAGCAAATGGTTTAGAAAGAGCAACATAAGTTAAATCAGATCAGCTTCAATGGAAAATTGAAATTTTATCTCCTAATTGCTTGTGCAAAAAATAGATTGTTGTGTAACATAATCCACACAAATAGGAAGATATGCATATGCCTAACTGGATTCAAACTTCGATGAAAAGAAACGAGATGTTGAAATTCCTGCTTGTTGCATGCAACCTGATATTTGAGTATGTGGTCTTATCTTGAATTCTCACTGGCAAAATTATGAAATCAAAGTCGTGTTTTGGGTAAATCTGAAGGTCACATCAAGTTGACCCATATGTAGTTTCACACGATTGGGAAAACGCAGTATATTGTCAAGTTTGATAGCTAGTTTAACAGGTTTCAAGAATGATGCTCAGCTGTGAAGCATGGAAACTTCAAAAGGGACTGTCGTGTCCATGGCACAAGTTAGATTGCTAGCTTGATGGGTTCTCAAGACTTTTCTATCAGAATCATGCACACGTGTGAAGCAAAAACACTTCAAAGGAGTGTCGTGCAAAATGAAACATTTCAGACAAAGACGCTGGTTCTATACTTGGCCAATATATGTTGGACAAGCGGAACCGAGTATTTGTTCTCTAAGAACAAAAAAAACGTGTTCAAGTGTAACATTATGAAGATTCTAAAGACTGTATGTCACGCACCACACCAAATCCATGTCTAGAACATAAGACGATCATTCGCATCTGTAGGACACTTTCAACCACAACTTGAGATTTGTGGATGGCACAATGGACTTGCATTAGGTCAACTACTACGATTGCAATTCCAGATATCATTGGTTAGTTCAAGATAAACCTATAGGTGTATGTATGAGTATACATATTATATTGTGTTCCTTTTGCCTTTTGATAAACCATGTCCAGGTCACTGCATGTTATTAGGTGTGTTGATGTCGTCATCATGGTTTATTCTCTTGGTCAGAAAGTTCTGTGCACGAGTTTAATCTTAATATCTGAATTAATACTTTCTACACTATACTTTAAATGGCTGCCATAATAGCTCAGCCTTGACAGCAAAAATGTACTTGTAAGATTACAAAATTCCATAAGGATGAGGGTGAACCAAATTAAGAAACATCTTAAAGAAGCCTGACTTTTAAGCATAACCAAATGCTATCAAGTAGCAGATCTCAAATTGCTGCAACATTTGTTTATTTTCTTTCTAGCTTCTATTAATCTGTTTTACATGAGAAAATTTATATGAGAATGACAATTGAGAGTTACAACATGTATTAAATAAACCCAGTCTTCAACTTAATCCACATGGGTAATTTTACTAAACCTCCCCTTTCTCAAATTAAAAAAACTCAGTTTTGTAGATTAACCAGATCAGGCAATACAATACATCACCACTTCAGGCATCAGTTCAGTCTGACTATTAAAAACAGCAATATGACGCATGCTGTGAAAACACCAAAATGTCGAGCTCAATGTAGATCCTTAAATTTTATGGATGGTAAATAGAAAATTAGAGCTACATCTGTAGTCTGTGATTTGATATTGTTACACATGTAGGTGCTAATATCAGGAGGGTGCTGGTTAAACATACACAGATACACTTATTGAACAGTGGTGGAAGTAGTATGGAAGTGGATGTCAATAGAATACTCTAGATTTACATCAAGAAATTACCTTTCCAGAATTTGATAGGGGTCCACCACAAGTTCCAGCTTGCCGTCAATCCAAATAGAAAATCGAGCATTAGGGAAAAGTCTGTGAAGTAAAAGTTTAGGAACCTGCCAAAAGGATGCATGGTCAGGGAACAATCTCTAGGAATTCTTGAGCATTGTAGAATAGCTTTAAGAAAAATGAGCAGCACACAAGAAATATATTATAGAAATTAATTAAAATTTACTCAGGCATATTAGTGGCATTATGACAGTTAACAAATTAAACAAACAAAGAAAATAATTGTGTAGATCTGGTAATCAAAGTACCAAAAAACTTAACACTATAATTTATATCATTTTAAGCAACATGGCCCAGCCTATCGACTATCCAGCAAATTAAAACAAGACATAATTATTTCTCTCACATAAAAACAGTACTGCTATTGTTCTGTAGAAATAATATGATATCATGAAACTTCTGTAGAAATAATACAATATCATGAAACTTCGGAAAAGGAAAAAGGAGATTGAATAAAATTTGAAGTGTTAAAGGAATCATTAATTTGTCTACAATAATAGTTGGGTGCTTAGCTTGATGAAGTATATATGCCTAGACTTATGTCCTAAAAAGTTTTATATATTACAGTTAAGCGTTAAGGAACATTTTTCTTCAAAATAATTCACTAGAAGCAAGTAAGATAAGAAGTCGAACGAATGTAGCCGATGGAGATGGTTCTTTATTGTTGAGTATTATTTGTAGTGCAGCTTGTGCCTTGTTTTGTTTAGCTATCCACTGCCATGTTTCCTTCGAGGGTGGGTTTGGGTGTGAAATCTTCAAATTTTTTGATCTGTCAGAAGATGAACGCAAAGAAGAATATTGTGGTCGCATCAAGATAAAATACATGTTGCACTAGAATTTGATTGATAATGACTGGCTGGATACGTTGAACAGGGCCTCTTATGGTGCAGCATTATTACCTCAATCCTATAAATATTTCTATGGGATAAGAATTTCGCAGGAATTTGCATTGATGGAAGAATTTCATGAGTGTATAGCCTGCATGATCCAAGCATTGCTGAGAGAACACAAATCGACATAGAGTTGGACAATTAGAAAGACAGGGTAATAGTGTTTGAATCCAAGTCAGTTTAGAAGAAACTTGTGCTTTTTTGTGCGTGTGTGCGTGCGTGTGTTTTTCTTTTTTTTCTTTTTTTGGGGGGTGGGGGGTTAAATGAAGCAGTGCGGACACTTTTTTTTTTCCTTTCAAAATTTCTGCTGAATCCAAGTTGATGACGACAAGAAAAGCTCATCATATTTAGTGACTATCAACCGGTAACATAAAAAACATCTCTAAGGATAATGGCAGGTTTCAGGCATTATAGAAGGCATATGAGGTGTCTTGAACCTGGGTAAGAAATTACATTACTTAGGTAAATAGTTTTTGTTACTTTCAAGCGCAGGTGCAGCAAAAAGGAAAGAGATGATGAGGTTGAAACATAAGGGATGTATAACTAGAGAAGGATATTAACAAGAAACCTACAAAGAAGTGTTCAATTATATGAAGCTGGGATTTTGAACAAGTGGTCAAGGAATTATAGAACCTTTAGAGCATCATTCATATCTATCAACCACTAAACAATCAAGCGCTTAGCATTAAACTGGTGAATAACAATTCCAAGATCAATAGATAAATGCATCATGGAGATTGAATGAAAATAAAATCAAAGGATCAGATGATCCATAAGGTTGTGCTATAGTCATAAACCAAAAAATGTAAAGGAAAAGGCACCTTCCCAGTGCGCCTTGCATCAGAATAAGGAAGATTACGAACAACTACGACTCTCCATAGGCCAATTTTTCTTGTATTATCGAGAGAACTAGAGTTCTTTATAGAGGCTTCAGTTTCTTCATCCACAAACATAAAAAAACACACAGTTTGTTTTGAAGCTTCGCTAATGTTTCTTGGCTGTTGCATAATGTCATAATTTCCTGTCATACAATATAAATTTAGGGGCAACTTAAGGAAAACAAGCTGAAAAACTAAAACATATAAAATTTCAAGTGCTATTAGTGAGCAGGTACCAAATATAGCTGAGGCGACGACTACACCATGACATTGTTCCATCTCAAGAAGATCAGCCTCGTCTATGTTAAACCCAGTCCCTTGACCAGGTTTCTTTCCTTTAGCAAATCTGTAATAATGAAAAACTGTAAACTAAGATACTAACATCAGCAAGAGAAAAAAAAACATTTTTATCTATCTGTGTTTAAGGATGAAACGTAGGAACTATATTAAATGAGACATGAGCCTGGTCCCTCAAAGTAAAAATATTAAGTCAAACTGCAGTTATTTGAAGGGAACATTAGCATACCCACAGTACACAGTCATCGTCTCTTTTATGTCAAAAGACTCCTCTCTCTGCTGCAAAGACGGATGACCCCCAAATATAGATCCTCCATTAGACTCATTTGCCACTAGGTTCTCTTCCGAAACATAATACAAATTCTTAAGAACAGGCGATGCTGATGGCAAAGTTGGCATATAAGACATGGCGAGATCCACAGGGACATAACAAACATCGCATGCTAAAAAGAACATAAAAATGGAACGATCAGTGTTCATGAAAAACATACGAAGAGTTCAAACGAAAAACAAAAATTGTGAACGATGACACATAAAACTTACGCCGGGGACCAGTACGCTTTGGATTGACTGGTGAAGGAGGAAGTGAGAAATTCTCACAAGGATGACGTGATGGAATAGGCAGTGGATGAAAAAACGGAAGAAGGGTGGTATTCATAACCTTAGCATGTTGTATATTGGGCACTGGCATTATATTCTCTTTCTGTTGAATTTGTTCTATTGCAGGAACTGGGGGAGGGCTGAGAAAATGTGATGACATCCTACCACGGTTTACAAGATTCCATACATGATCTGAATAACCTACGACAGTCTCGGGACCTGCTGGCTGGTCTACATCTGTAAATAAACCATTATAGACAAGTTAGCTGAAGAAAACAAAGACACGCTAGAATCAACTGTAAATTGCGAGTCAGAAACGTATAGCTACGAGTTACAAACCGATAATACTGTAACATACAATGATCTATCATCACACATGATTTTTGAATAAATTCAGGGTCTGCGCTAGCATTCAACACACTAACTGTACTCAATAGGTTGATGAATAAGTTGTCCTCAAGCTCAATTATGTGATGAACTTCCTTACAGATTCCATCATATTAGCCAGATCCTCAGCAACCAAACATAGGGTCCACATTTTCACCAATAAAACAACCAGAAGCAGGTGATTTAACATGGACTGTTTTCATAAAAGGGCATCCTTGAAACGTGAAACACTAGTTTCCACTGTTCTAATGCACTGATGGTTAAGTGTCTTCCTTTGTAAGGTACCACTAATAAGGTGTCCAACCCCCACCTCCCTCAAGTTGAAATAATCTAAAAGTTCTTATAACCCTGAATTTATTCCCCTATTTATCTCCTACAACTGTGCCTTGTTTGTCGCATGTGCTCCAAAAGGAATGTTGGAGTAAGGAATAATCTAAAACTCTGAAAGCAAGAGATTGTTTCTTCGAAGAATAAGTTAGCCTGATTACAACGAAAAAATTGTGTTTTTAACCGCTGAATACATCAACGGAACAACTCTCACTAGCAATACACTGAAACAAGTCAGAGAACAATCACCCATGTTTTTTGATTTTTTTTCCACTTCCAAGAAAATACGCAAGCTCACCACATTTGTTACAAACAGACCACGTATCTTTATCCACATTATGAAATAACAAACTAAAATAACAGGGGGAAATGAAGATAAGTTAATGCAATGCGCTAAATATTCCAAACTGATTCAATATTTCAGAAAGGGAGAGCTGAATAATGCATAAATTCCTCACACTATTGAACTGGGCAGTGACAAAATTAATCCCCAGCAAGATTAGACCCAGTAATTAGGGAAAACAGCCACATTTTTAAACTCAGATTGTTAGCGTAAACCCAGATCCAATTCCAAATTACCATTTTGCATCAATCACTACAAATCACAGAAAAGGCAATACCTCTACTGACAGCGAAGAAGAAGGACAACACAACGGCAATCGACGTGATGATGAGCAGCAAAAGCATCCCAACTTTCTTTCTGCTCGCAATCTTAAAGATCGCCGACAATCTCCTCTCCTTCTCTCTTGATCCTGGCAACAGCATCTTCGAATTCTTCCGAACTGAAACCGGCGTCGAAGTGATCGGCAATGTGGAGACTGAACAGAGCGAATTATGCACTTGCTGCAATGACCCATAACTCCCTGATCGGAGCCCCAATGACCCCCCAGTCATTGTCCCTTTACCCCCTCGACCTCCCCTCTCATCTCCCCTCTTTATCGTCCCCAATCTCAGGCAATCATCAAACGCTGGATTTCCAAATCCCCGCCCCCAATGTCAGGCAATCATCGAACCCTAGATCTAAGCTTCGACGACCGAAACTCCCGCCGATCCTCCCGAATCTTGTCAGATCCAAGGGCATTCAATGGATCGATTGAAGAGTGAGATTAGGGTTTCGACAAGATTTCGATTGGGATTGGGATTCTTCTGAGGTCCAATGAGAGAGAAATCTTGCAGGAGAGTTATAGAGAGAGAGGGAGAGAGAGAGAGAGGAGGGAGATTTAATACTGTCTAATTCTGTCGTTAATCGTTAAAATGAATAATTATGTGAAAGTTAACTATTTGGTGATTTATTCCCCGCGTTGATTATGGGTAATGAGTGGGTGGGTTGATCAAAAAAGGGGGGTTATTTATAACTTTCCATTGATTAAGGAATTTTTGCCTGAAGAGAACGTGGATAGATGGAATTAAGAGCGCTGGCTCCAGCAATTGTATTTGTGGTGTTAGGGTCGGGTTTAGGGACGCCACGTTTCGACCCGCTTTGTGATGTAGACCCGAATCCTCTGTATTCAATGACAATCCGTTCTGGTTAGGTTCCGTCGGGCTCGTATTAATTGTGGATTTTTTAAAGATAAGTCACTTTTGCAGCCTTTTATTTTTGGTCTGAGCATGACTTACTTGAAGAATACATAGCATCAGATTTTATAATTGGGTTAATTACTTGTTAGTCCCTTAAATCATTTCTAATTCCACGTAGTCCCTTAAATCTCATTATTTGCTTGTTGACCCTTAATTCTTCAGTTTTCTTGCAATGTGGTCCTTCTGATAGAAAAACTGTTAACTTCTCTAACTCTAGTTAAGTTGATGTTTAATCTAACAACTCAAGTTACCTTATTGCTCCTGGGTTATATCCTTGCGAGTTTTGGGTTTAGAGTGTAGCTAGTCATGAGAATGACCTTGATTTTGGGTTTAGGGGATGCATGGGACCATCGGTGAAGAAAAAAATATGGATTTGAGTTAGTATAGGTGGGGTATAATGGGTATTTTACATAACTCCTTCATATTTAATGGTCATTAGTAACAACACCTAACACGAGGGACGAATTAGCAAGAAAACTGAAGATTTAAGGGACTAATAAGCAAATAATGAGATTTGAGGGACTATGTGGCAATTAAAGATGATTTAAGGGACCAATATGCAATTAACCCTTTATAATTATATTACTTAGGATCCATTTATTTGCATGGAAGTAGCTACAAAGTAGGTGAAATAAATAAAGAATAAGTTACTTCTGCTACTTCAAAGGAAAAAAAAAATTTGTTTCCCTATTATAATTACTATCCAAATAAAAAATTATTATAAATTTGGATGAAGACTAACCAAGAACAAAATCTCAAAAGATCATCTTTCTTTTAATGTTATGATGATTATGTGAACAAAGATTGAATGAAGAGAAAGAAAATAATATTTCCATTGCTTCTAAGAATTTGTGAAACAAACAAAAGAAGTGATATTTTCGCCACTTACTACTTCATAAATTTGAAAGTAACTTATTTAGTCTACTTTTCCCATCTCTTTCTTATGCATAACCAAACATGCCCTTAGTGAGGATACGAGCAACCCCTCCAACAAGTTATATTTGTCATTTGCTACCGAGGATAATATTGTAATTTCCATTATATATAGAGAGAATATATATTTTTTAATAATATGGTAGGCCAAGGTTAGTTTGGGTTTGAGATTAAAAAAACGTAATTTTTGTTGAATGGTTGTGGTCCTTGTATATAATCACATTGATCGCCAAATTAACTTTCTAGACGCAAGGCCCACCAAAGGTCCCTTTGTGAATGAAAGAAATAGGCTAAAGTGGCTAGCGCATCAGTGTCTCATGGGAAAGTTGTGGTGTCATATCTTACATTAAGTATTACTTCCAAAAGTCGTGGTTACATGGTATAATATTGTACGCAAATGAAGATTTTCTTTTGCCTCCTTAAATGCTGCGTTCCAATAATTCAATAGTAGTCGTTGAAATCTTTGACACTTTTTATATGGGCTTGCGAGCTGTATTCTCTTTCACTTAATTAATATGCGCAGGGCCCCTATTTTTCAAAGCATTGTATTTTTAATTTGCTATCATCTAAGTTGTAATACATTTAATTTAATTATTTTATACTTAAAATTAGAAATCATATTTACTCCTTTATACTTAAAGAAACATCCAAGTTTT